GATTATCAATCGTTAAATGCCAAACTTGACTATATAAAAAATAATAATTTAACAGGAATTGCGATTGCGGACATCACCAAGGATTCGAAAGACTTACGATGGACAAACTTTATTTCGGGAATTCTACCAAATAATACGGGAGGGAATGACAATTCAACCTCTTCATCTCCCAATATAGCTGCAATAGTGGGTGGTGTAATAGGCTCCATTATTTTTGTTAGCGCATTAGTAGCTGTTGGCATCGTATTGTATCGAAGAAAACGCAGTCCAGGAAAAGTTGTAACAAGTGTTATAGCAATGTTTGATTATGTGGGGAAAGAAGAAAGTGATTTGAGTTTTAAAGCAGGTGATGTTATTGAAGTACTTGAGAGAGGAGAAGGGCCTAATGATTGGTGGGTGGGTAGATTACATGGTGTAATAGGCGAATTTCCTGGTAAGTGGATTATCTGTTTAACCTTCTTTACACCTATTAAAGAGGTGTCTGTCTTTCGAAGTCAAATGAATATAAAATTAAACGACAACTATATCATTTACATTTCATTAATGAAATTAATCTAATTTTTTTTTTAGGTAACTACGTAAAGGAAGTCAAGTGATTTGATTTATTAATGATAAAATTTTTTTGAAATAGAACTATTATAATTTTCAGAAATATTCATGTATTGTAAATGCTAAAATGATAAATTCTATATGATGTCAAACATAACATTCATTTGCAATGCCAGAATTTAGAAGATTAATTTACAATCCATTTTGCGCTTGTAAGCGAACATGTATATTATAATAGCAATATTACTACTTTACTACTGGCTATATTATTATTTCTATAATTCATAATTATCTGGAAAACGGTAATGTTAATCATATAAAATCTGTCATTTTTTTAACACGCAACCTTTATAGGCCATATTAATTTTTATAATATATCAATACTTTTACGCCAAAATTCATATTCAAAATAATATCCAATAAAGAGTTGCATTGTTTAAAACAGAATACGAACGCCATAATTTAATTAGCTTAAGCTATGGTTAAATCCATAAATTATTACTTATCTGATTTAAATTATGTTTTAATTACAATCTAAACCATGTTAGTAGCCGTAGCTTAGACCGAGTA